TGAGCTCTGTGTGTGTGTTTTTTCAGAGAAAAAAAGAGAACGCATCAAAATAGTGATTTTTCTCTTTGGTTTTTCTTTTTATTATCTAAGTTTTTCTATAAGGAGTTTTGATGGTGCAGTGTTTAAGCACTCAGCTGCTAACTGAAAGGTTGGCAATCCAAACCACCAGCTGCTCACTGGGAGAGAAGACCTGGTGATCTGTACCTGGAAAGATTGCAGCCTAGGAATCGACTTGAGACACAACAATGGCAACATGTTTTCTATAATGGACATGCATTACTTTCATTATAAAGGTTACTTCTAAAAGAATAGGCAAAATATATCACCAGTAAGATTTTTAACTGAAGATAGCTGGGAATTTGATGATAAATATAGAAAAACTTAAAAGCTAGAGGTAGAAAAGATATAAAGAAGAAAATACAGTTTCGTGCCCACAGCCATACTGGGTAACTGTATGGGCTCCATACTCAGGCGACCACTGTTTGAGTACCTTCTATGTGCTGTTTGCTGTGATAATACAAGGAGAGTTATGATGAATGTTCTGCAGATTAATCGAGTGGGGACATGTGAGCAAGTCTTTTAACTTTGTTTATGGTGCCTTTTGATATAAAGAATTTTTTTAAAGTTTGTAATGATATCTGTACCAACATTTTCCTTTGGCATGTGCATTTTGTACACTTTTAAAATACCCTCCCAGATTTTCTTATATTTGCAAGACTTTTTCTGTTAAGATCTTTAATTTGCCTGGAATTTATTGACATGTGTGATATGAGGTAAATATCTGCCTTTTTTCCCCCATAATAGGTAGACAAATAGCCTAACATCCTCCTCTGATGTGAAGTGGCACAATTATGTTTTAAGTTTGTTTCTAAAATCTTAACTTTTCTTCTTTTGTCTATTAGTCTTTTATATAGTAGTATCAAAATATTTTAATTAAGAAACCCAGACTTAGTTCAGATTTTGGTCTCTGAAATATTGCTTCATTTTTCAATGTCTGAGTGGTACAAGTGGTTATGAGCTTGACTTCTAACCCAGAAGTTGGAGATTAGAGTCCAATCAAAGGTACCTTGAAAGAAAGGCCTGATGATTTTTCTGGTTACCTAGTGCTGCTCTGACAAAAATATACCACCAATGGGATGGCCTTAACAAACAGGAGTTTATTCTCTTATAGTTTGGAGGCTTTAAGTCCAAGTTCAACGTGCCAGACTCCAGGGATTGTGTGAAAGCCCCTCGACCTTGGGCTTCAGCTCTGCCTCTTGCTCCCGGCCCACTGAAGCTAGAGACCTCTCTTCACTTGGGCAGCTACTGGCTGCTGAGGCTAACAAGCCCAAGGTCGACAAATAAAA